GACGGTGACCGCCGAGGGGAAGGCTAAAAGGGCAGCCGTGACATTACGCGCCGGGTCCCGAAGGCACAGCCACCCGCGACAGTGACAGCGACCATCACGCAGGTCTGGCACGGGCGTTAATTACCGCAAGGATGCGTCAGCGTGCAAGCAAAAGGCTGACAACTCCAAGGAACCACGGAAAGAGCTTACATGTCTTTAATCAGCCCTGTAGAGCTTGCCGCTAATTAACCTTTTGCACTGGGAAGAGGAGGAAGAAACAAAGCCCTGCTGGGAAGCGGGGCGAGCAAAGCGCACGCACCAAATTGCTCATCCTCCTCCCAGCCTATGCGCCGGGGAGAGATGCAAAGAGGAGAGGGCAGACCCAAGTTTCGCCAGCCGACCAGTCCCCCCATTTAGGTGCCTCCAAAGGCTTGGAAACCGGGAAACACCAGCCCTTGGACCAAGGAGCGAGGTGGGTAAGGTTCCTCCCTCTTCCCCTGGTCCCCGGACTCAACACGGGGACTCCCAGCCTCTAACGCAGCCCCTGGGAGTGACTGCGCAGGGCTGTCCCCCTTCATTCTCTCCTGCACCAGGAGGGAAGGCAGATGAGGCTCCCCTCTCACAGGAGGGAGAGAGCTCGGGGTAAAATAGATGGCCGATAAGCAGAGAACAGTGAAAAATTCCAACCCCCCCAAGCAGCACTGAATAAAAGCCTCCGTTCCAGCCCATTCCCGAAGGAGCAGGGAGATCAGGACCGAGATGGAGTGCAAGACGGTGTTTCACACAGCCTGAGGGTGATGATGCTCTGGATAAGCTTACGCAATACCAGGGCCAAACTCATTTTGGCTTGCCAGGCCGGTCAGTCAGCACGCGCCTGCCAACAGCCAAAACCAAAGTAAGCGTTAGGCAGAAAGGCAGAAGTATTGCATTGAGAGGGAACGGGAAAACCCGACGTTGCTTTCACATCCCATCCTTACCCCAGGGGAAGGTCTCCAGCTGCTGCCAGGAGTTGGGCTCACACGGGGAACTGATTTTCAGGCACATAGTTGCAGCATTAAGGAGGGAGACCCACCTTCCTTCCTGGCAGGAACCAACAGACCTCTGACTCTGTGTTAAGGCACCAAAGCCTTGTGGTTTTTAGAAACAAGCCAAGTAGGAAGAAGCAGCATCACTGCAAACGGCAGCGGTGGCCTCTTTGGCAGAGCAGAGACACAGCCCTGAGAGGAGACTAAGACCCAGCTGCCAACACAGTCCCCAAGCCAGTGTGGGACGTGCCTGTTCACAGCAACCGTCTTCCCAGAGGGGGAAAAATTTACCCTTGCACGGCCTCAGTGTCTAAGCTAACAACTACGGGGACAACCCTCTGCCTGTTCCACAGTTAACAGCCCGTAACTGGCTGTGACACTCGGGACTCTACCCCTAGCAGATGGAAAAAGGAGTTCATCCATCACCGAGCCGGGAGGAGGAACCCACCTGCTGAGGAACACCTCTGCCAGGTCACAGATACCTCCTCGCTCCTCGGCCAGGGGCTCTGCCGAAGGAGGTGAGCGAGGCTTAGCCCTGCGCTGCCCCGCTCCTCTCCGGGAGGCGTTGAGCTGCCCAGCACCGAACCTTCACGTCTCTGAGTTTCTTTGGAAGGAGAGGAGGGAGTGCTGCAAGCCAGCATGTGGGAGGCGCATGTGGTTGGTGTTCAGAAATGCTGCCGCTTGAGAAACTACATTTGTGCTCCTTGAAGGCCAAACATATGGTAGGAGTTACGGCATGCTTATTAGACATGTTTTATTATTTTCCCTCGCTAAGGCTTGAACGACTGTGTGATCACATACAGAACACTTCACATAAAGGAGCAGGGTCATTGTGCCTTTAGCACCAGAAAACGAATGCCTGGGATTAGGCGAAGGCATGGGTGGTTAAAATAAAAAAAAGAAGGGGGAAATGGAAGAGGTGACACGTTCACAGAGGACTGCACTCGAGGAGCTGTAACGGTGTACTCTGGTCTTGATTAGCTACCGGCATTAAGGCAGAGCCATTCCCAGATTAAAAGTTCACGCATGAACTTTGGTCGTTTAGTGCTCCGTGGCCAAGGTTTGTTCTCAAAAATAATAATCTGCCAATAAACTTACTGGCAGAATTGGGTTGCATAACTGGAAGCACAACATCTACTCCATTAAAGGCAGGACTCAGGCCATTCACACTGAACCGGGGACTCTGCCGTACGTCCTGGCACACGATCAGACACAAGACCCGCTGCACGAGGACAAACGACTCCTCGGTGGCAGCTGAGCTCACGCCACAAATTCTCCCATTTCAACATAATCACTCTTTTACAAAAGCAGCAAGAGCAGTTCAGATCTGAGCTGGGTGTGAATTTGAAGGTGTGTGTGAGGAAACATGAAAAAAGGCGTAAGAAATATCGATGAGTCTTAGCCCGATTCCATAAAGAAGGGGGCTTACACCATCACGCTGCCTCCCCTTCCTCATCCCTCGTGTTAAGTTTTGTGCCAGCTGATCTCTTTCAGACCAAGTGGAAAGAATAATAATAATAAAAAAAAAAACCCACACATGCTTCCTTTCAGAAAGAGAAAGCTGTGGCTGGGAAGGCAGAAAGACTTCATCAGGGCTCAGGTCGTTACTTCTGCCAGCCCCAGCATCTGCTGCGGGAGGGAGCCGGGCACCGCAGGCACCCCGGGGTAGGAGCTGCGCGTGGGCAGATGCAGGGGGAAGAAGAGAAAAACAGGGACGAGGGAAGAGTTGGGATTTCGCAGCATGAGGTGTGGGGGTGCGTGCCTCGCATCTTCAGGAAATCCGTTTAACTGCTCACCGAGTACCCAAACAAGGGAAAATTAACTCTTATCGCGTGGTGGAAGACAGGCTGCTGCACGTCAGAAGGGTGGAACCCGCCCGCTGCTTTCCTTTGGAACAAGAAAACAAACAAACAAACAAAAAAAAGAAGCAAACAGAAGTAAGTTCACAAAACTTTCCTTTTTATTATTTGAAACTGGAAAAGGCTCCTTGGGTAACAATGATCGGGTGTAAAAGTAACGCACATGTTTTGCTCAGCTTTTTGATACCTGGGATGAAGTAGGCCAAGTGTTGCAAAGTCACGTCTGGTTTTCAGACAGCCCGTTCCTCTCAAACCCCCAAACAAAAGGACAGGCAAAACCCCACCCCTCGGACAGGGGAGCAGACCGGGCAGGCGAGTTGTTTAAACTACAGTTATGTTCCACACGGGGTGTTTGTGGCATGAAACCGAGGTGTTTGATGTCAAATGGCATTTTAGAAAGAAAAGCTCACCTTTTCCCTCTGCACTACCCTCTGGATGAAGCAGGGATCTGGTGTTTCGCCTTCATTTTTAGTAAGTACCACGGGGTACTTTATAGAGACTTATTTACACTCAAAGCCTGCTGGAGATGCCCAGATAAATCCATCGGTGTCATGTTAAATTGGTGAGTGCAAAATACACATGGAAACAGGGTACACCTGCTTAGGGGAAGTAGGAGTCTTAATCAATGAAAAAAAAGTGCAGATTGCTTTAATTAAGCTAATGAACACGGTTGATCCAAGTGCTCTTTTCCTCAGAAATTAAAAAGACTGCAATCCAAACAAAAACCAGAACCATACATTTTAATTCAGTGCACACACACACAAAAAAAAAAAAAAAGGAAAGAAAAAAAGGTCAGTGGCACTCACAGTTTGGTAACTTATCTTCCACTCCACCGCCTGATCACACATCTCAAATATTTCGCTGTCCAACTGGTAAGTTATGCTGTCCATCTGGCCTGCAGCGCAAAGGCCAGCACGCAATCCTTTGGCAGCTGAACACAACAGAAGATTATTGGCCACGTGAGCAACCAGCTACAAGACAGAGTTAATATACTATCGTTTCCTAAACTAGCAAGTTGAGATTATACAACCCATTTCCACACAACACTCAACACTCCCATTAAATTCCACTAGTTTTAAATTAATAAAAAGCAATAAAAAGTCATCCTTGTTTAAAAGTAAACATTGAGCCAGCTGCACTTTAGTTTTTTCCTGGTAGCTTACACCTCCAAGCAAGCTTGCACGATTTGCTTTCTCCCCAGTACAAGTTTCCTAACTAACTGCCATCCGACCTCTGCTGTCCCATTCCAGAGTAGCCGCGGCAGTACTGCACCGTTCACTCCAGAGGGAAGCTGACAGCCGAAGTTACGAGTAATTCCATCCTTTTCCCTCCTCCTCCTCAATAAAAAAAAAAAAAAAAGCCTGACAAGTCCATGTGGACTGCAGTGAGTCTCCTACAACCACAACGCCTGATCACAGCACATTTACAGCTACGAAATCAGGCCCAAGGCAAACAAACTGGCTGGATGAGGATCTTTGATGCTTCTGTTTTCCAGCTGGCCAAACCCATGTGTTTTGACAACAGAGAAAGCATGATCTAGGAGCACAACACAGCCCGAGCACGTAAGCCAGTCACTTGCTTATTGCTCCTGAGCTACAATTAAGCCCTAGGTCCTGCTGTGGCTATTGGGGCAACGCTGCTCTGCAGCCTAATTGCAAGCGCTTTTTTTATCCCAAAAGGCTTCTGCCAAGAGAGTATTCCTACCCCTGACAAGTTGTTTTCCGTCTTCCCCAGCACTTTCCACCCATCCGGGATCAAGAAATAAAGCCCAATAATTGTCCCCAAGATTTTCTACAGACCGAACAGGACGAGGACACGTCAGCACCAGAAACTTATCCCCATCTGCAAGGCACCACCACACATTATCCCTGTCAACAGCTCACAGAAATATCCCAACAAGCTGGACAACTAGGGTTCAGGAAACAAACAGGGTATGCACAGGGAGGTGGTACAGCCCGTACCAAACATGAACAAGTACAGCAAAATACTGTACTGTTAGCACTGCTTCCCACAGGTACCACGAGGGAAGGCTGGACCAGGGCTGCCGTGGCATCCCCCTCGGCCACAGACGATGCTCAGATCCAAAATGCCTGCCACTGAGTCTGGCCGCACTCCTCTTGTTCCTTCCCCTCTCCCAAAGTTTTCAGAGCTGCAGGTTGTAACTCCTCATTGTGTTATTCTGCTTTTCCCTGAAAGCACTGATGTAGCCATGCACAAAGGAACCAGCAAAGACGCAGGAGCACCCAGAGCATTTATGCCAGTCTCTCCAAATTCGCCGTCTTGACAGCTTTCCTCACCCAAAGCCAAATCAGAGGGAGTTTTCTTCTGAAATGCCACAAAAGCCTGCCAGGCTTTGAGGAACAGAAGGTGGGAAGAGAAGGCAGAGGAGGAGTATTAATACAAAATTTGCTATTTTCATTGCCTTTGCTCTAGACAGAATGCCACGGTGTATCAGCAGTTTTGCCTTTAATGAGGACTAGCACATTCTGACATTTTGAGGCCAAGCAGGTACACTATAAATAAAGAGATGCTACTACAGGGGCAAAGCTGAGCTGTGCAAAGTTCCTGCAGGGCATCAAGCCTCTGCAAAGCCCTTCTCTCCAGCCAGCCAAGCAGGTCTCGCCTTCGGAAGGCAGACCCTTAACACTGCCACTGAAAAGGTTCAGAAGGGACAAGCTACAAGCAGAAGAACCATCTTAGCCTGGAGAACAGCTGATGCACAACCTGTGCCAACAGCCAACCAACAGGTCCTCGCCCAGGTGACAAAGCAGACCTGTATTCAGCAGCGAGCAAAACACTCCGGCCATCTGCTATCCAGGGGTTTGCACTCCCCGGCAGACTCCGGACATCCAGGGGAATTTAAGCTGCAGGTAACAACTACTAAAAAGATTTTATGACACAGCAGTGGAACATACCTACACTGCCTTTACACACTCAGCCAACCCAACACAGCAGGTCGCAGGGAGAAGACCGGCTACAGAGTCAACGCCTGTACTTATGAAACCGTGACTCGGGTCTCAGGCCAAGTGCTTGTAGTGCATTCAATAGTCTGCATTTTCAATCTTACTTTAAAAACAAAAAGCAAAAACTATTAAGTCAGTTACATAAAACTTCAGGATTTTTATTTTTTCGGGTGAGCGGGGACACTGAAGGAAGGAGGAATTTACAATCGGAACTATGGATCCACTCGCAGCTGAAGCAGTGCTGGTTTTAAGGATAAACGATTGAAACAGCTGCCCAAGGGGACCTCTCTCACCCCTTTAGGCTGTTAGGGAGAACACAAAGCAGCCAACGTACTGGCTGCACCAGCCTAACAGCGAGCTCCAAGAGAAACTGGCCACCCAAATGGTGAACAGACTCCTAACAGCTTCAGGTATCCCAGAAATCTGCATCATCTAGCTGGAAACCTGTCTGCAAGATTAAGCACATGCTCTCCTTCTGCACACAGCTCGGCACCTGCAGCAGAAGGCCGAGATGCCCCATTTTAGCTTCAGCTCACCTCTCTGCCCACACACCAAGGCTCAGAGAACTGCCACCCTTCCTCCCTCCCAGCCCTGCGTGATGGGGTGAGATCCAAGTCAACTCTTCCCTCTGCTGATGCCGACAGGAACACCTCTCTCTAACAGGCTGCTCAGAAACAACCTACTTTTTATAGCTTATTCACTACAACGGTTAACAGCACTTCAGATCCTCACCTCTAACACTGAGGCAGGTTTTCCACTACTGACAAAGCAGTAGGAAACAAAGAAAAAAGTGCCCCAAATCACCTTCAAATTCCCAGAGGTTTGTAAAACTATATCCAAAGAGACAGGAATTAATCTTGTGAGTGACGTGACCTTCCGCTCAAAGCCTCTGCTGGAGGCTCGGTTCTCACGCAGCTTGAGGGAACGCTCAAGAGCCAGAAATGGCAAAAAGCCCTTGTGAAAGTGAGAATAAAAGCTGCTCGCAGTCAGTGAAACTAGGCAGTGACTGAAACTTCTCCACAGAAGGGGCCTGAATCCTCCCAGCACAACACACGTACGGACACATTTACAAACCAAAACCTGAACAAGATGTAAAGGCAGAGTTTTGTCAAGACACTGATCCGGCTGGTAACGGGAAGAGGAGAAACCTGGAGTTTATCATCACAGCCAGAGAGCAACTGCAACAAAGGATGTATTTTGCCTGTAACTAAGAGCTTCCTTACAAACAGCTCTCTTCTCTCCACACAGGGGTCCCTATCATCTCTTCCTACACAGGATTAATAACACGCGCTGATGCAAATGCTGATGGTTTATAGCACAACTCACAGTCTGTAGATTAGCACTGGCCAGGATTTTCCTGCATAAGACAATCTATGGGGAATCTGCTTCCTCGCCTGCAGCCCACACTTCCCAGTAGAGCTCAGATCTGCCAGAACACAGGTATCATGGGAAGAAATTAAGCCCAGGAGCTTTCTGAGGAAGCAGCAATCATCTGGGATGAAACAAGTGTGACTAGAAAGGGAACAGAAGGGTCCTGCGAGTGGAGCAGCAGCACCCACCTGTCAGCACCAACCGTAAAAGGCGCCAGAACAAGCCACAGCAATATTAGGAGAAACCCTTGTCGCTCCTTCAGACTGCGTAGGGCAACCTGATACAAGAATGACACCTAACTAGGGTCACATTAGTATCAGCAACACATGGCACCTTCTGCTGCCCATCACAGACAGGAGTCAGTAGGCTGCATTTGGATTTATTTCACAGTTAGTTTTCTTTTTTCTCCTTCCTTTACAGTTTCAGGCCCATTTTAAAAGATCTGAGGTGAACCTTTCAGGTACAAAACCAGTTCTGAAAGCACCAGCTTCTGCAGTTTACACTCATTTCCAGTTCCGTACTCAGCTCCTATAATAAAGAATCATCATCTCCTCTACGCTCAGGGAGACACCCAGACCTGGAGTCCCAGGGACAGCACATCCACTAAGCTCCAGAAGCCAGGGCAACACTACGCACACTGTCATTTACAGTGGGAATCCTCCCCTTGCTGCCAAGCTGGGGGAATTTTTAAAAAGAAACCCAGCCACTCCAATTACTAAGCCAAGGATGCAGGTATTACACCAGCCCCTCTTGACAACGCTGTACCCAGAGAAAGGTTTCTGGAGAGGAGGACGTGCTTCGTCACTGCTGACGCAATTTATCATTATGCAGCCAGCCAGTCTGCAGCGGTGGACCGCACAGGTTTTCAGGAGGGTAAAGCAAATCTCCCAGGAGGATAGATCGGCCTAGAGTGCAGCAAAGGCTTAAATGAGTCCCCTCCCTGAAGAAGAGCTCTTTCCACAGGAGACTGCTAATGGTCAGAGCAGAGGGCTTGTGTCCATCCAGTCAATTAGATGTTCTTCTGATCCAGCTCTGACCTCGAGTTATTTTTGTTCCAATACATTCTTTTTGCAATAAGAAAGGTCTATTTCCTCCTCTGCAGGATCCCTTTGGCTATACAAAGCTATGTTACAGACTGGGAACAAGGACTGCTAGGGAGCAGCGTAGGGTGGCAGGGAGGAAAGGGCAATCATGGGTATTTTAACCGGGATGTGTACATTTGGGGTAAAAAGGCTTTATTAAAAGTGCATGCTTTTATTCAGAGGTACCGAGAGCGAGGAATCCCCATCCCAGCCCTGGCTGGGGAGTGCAGCAGCCTTTGCAACCCCTAGCCCTGTCCATCACCAATCACCCGTCAAGTAGCCAGCGACTGAATGTTCTTCAGCATTTCATCAAAAGCCTCACGGGAAGGCGCTTCGGCGTTCTGGAAGGAGACCTTGATCCGGCTGTAGAGACTGAAGGACTTCAGCTCCAGCCAGATGAATCCAAAGCGATCGTCATCGAAGAGAACAAAAACACCTGGCGTTCGCTCGGGGCTGGTGAAGCCGTGGCCAGCAATAAGCCCCGTCCCATAAAAACTGCAAGGAGAGAAGAATAGCAAAAAAGATGGGAGAACAGCCATAATTACACAATATTTAAAAAAATAAATAAATACACACCCCACCCCACCCCCAAACTATGATCAAGCCATTGTCAAACACACCGCCAGGTGCTACAGAACAAGGGAGTTTTACATTGTCCATTCTCATCACACAGCACAAAATACTGTTGATGCCATTTTAAGAAAATAAACTCTCCATTGCTTATTTGGAGGTTGCTGCTTTTGGCTATTCTAATTAGCACCCGCACACCAAGGCTAAATTTTTCTGTAGTTCAGCCCAGTAATCAGAGATTTACTTCTGCAACTCAAGGATCAACCCAGGCCCAGACAATCCTCACAGAAAAGGAAAGGCATGTTGAGAGGGTAACCAGAGAGGCAAACCTGGCAACAAAACCCAGGGGCAGGGAGAGAAAGCAAACCCTAAAAAAAAAAAAAAAAAAAAAAGAATTATCTAACTGGAGCTGGGGAGGAGCAAAGGTCAGTCTAACCTCCAAGCAAGCAGCAGGTGGAGCAGGGTTTTATTCAAACACAACTCAGTTGTGACAGCAGGGGCCTTCTGGGATTAACCAGCTATTGGTAGGTTTTTCCATGAGCACAGATGTTCGGCTGAAGGTCACCTGCCTAAGCCTCGGCTTTTGGGCTCTGTTTCCACACTTCATTTAGTATGCTGCTTCACTGACTCCAGGTCCCATTCAACAAGGCTCTCTGCATACTTGCACCTACTGCTCAGGGTGCTCGGCACCTTCCAGAGCTGGCCCCAAGGCACCAGAGGCCAGGGAGGGGTGAGAGAGAGCACCGTGTTCCCACAGCCAAGAAACACAAATGACACACACAGAAACGGGAAGCGGCTTGAACAGATCTCCAAATATACTAGCTGAGCAGCTCTGGGAAACAAAACACAGAAAAAAAACAAGGCAGGGTGGAATATGGGAGAGGCGCTAGCTTTAGAATTAACAGGATAAAATCTAGCAAGGAAGCAGGATGGCAGATGACAGTGTGGTAAGAAAGAGAGGGAGAAAACGAGAGTGTGGGAGATAGGGCAGCAGCGGCAGAAAATCTGAGCCCAAGGGGCTGGGAGATCTGCATGGCAAGCATGCAGGGCAAGCAAATACAGGACACGCCTCAAAGACTCCCCTGCTTCCATTTCAAAAAGTGTCTGGCACGACTAGGCTATAAAACCACTAGTCCCCGTTACCAAATTCGGCAGGTCCGGGGATAGTCTTCATTCCTCGATATGACTCCCATGGGCAGCACGAAGGGCTGGGAAGCTGGTGCCTTGTCCTGGGTCGTCCCCGCCGCCCCAGCTGCAGTCTCTTCCCCTTCGGCACCTTCTCCTCCCAGGGGCTTCGCAGCAGGCTGGGAGGCAGCCTGCTGGGAGCAGTCCTCTTCCTCCTGCTGGTGTTCCTGCTCCTGCTCCTCCCGACGCACCTGCTCCTGGACCTCCAGGACGATGCGAGAGAGCTCACTGAAATCGCGAAGGTTCTCGATGTCAGGTAGCTGCAGAGGATGCGCCAGGTCGATCTCCACAGTCTGCTGCCCAGCTGGGATGTTGGGATCTCCCTAGAGACAGGAAGGAACAGCATGGCTGCAGAGGCAGGGCGCTACAGAGTTCAGACCTGTATCCTCCCCACGTTCATCATCTGACTTCTACTTAGTGCACCCTATTCTACAATCACCAAGTTGGCAACAAAAAAAAAAAACCCTCAGACCTTTTTCGTTGTTCCCTGAGCTGACTACGTCACCTCTGCTTTCCCCCTCCCAGAAACAGAATTTTAAATCAAAAGCTACGAGCCAGGCTGTACTTGCAAAGGTGAAAGAAAGTCAAAGCTGCAACTGCATTTTGTCAGAATCCCTCCCTGCAGAGAGGAAGGAGCTCACTAGCCTGGCTTCAGTGAAGAGCTAACAACATTTGGTACCTGCTCCTCAGATACACGTGAGTGATTTCCAGTGACCTGCTACCAGCTGCCTACAGAAAGCAGCTGGAAGGGAGACAAAAGGAAGGGGGAGCCAGGTGGCTTCATGAGAAACTTTGCAGAGCACATTCTAGCTACTCCACACGTGTTAAGATTCACCCAATGCCACCAATCTCCACAAGGAACAGGGTCTGGGATGGCAACAACTGACTACCTCCCAGACAGAGATCCATGGCATCAAGAAGAGAATACTTTAACAAGCATCTGAGAGAAAGAAAAATGCACTCACGGTGATTTTAGTCCCCTTCGCTTTCTTTCCATGAAAGCTCAACATGACAATCTCCAGCCCATGGCTCCCATACGTTCCTTTGAAAAGACCTGGCTTTATAAGGTCATCAGGGCTGCTAGGAGGGAGGTAGATGCGTCGGTATGTCAAGCAGTTGCTGTGCAAAAACCAAAAGGTTAGAGAGGTTAAGAGAGAATCCCTCAACACAAAGAATGTGTTTGCAGTCTGCTCCTCCAGGCAGCTTTGGGATGTCATCACAAGAGAGGTGGGATCTGTGTTTTCAGCAATACCAACAAGCTTAACATTTCGTTTTAGGCCTATGCAAGCACTCCCTCCCTTCACTTCTCTCTACCAGTCCTTGTTAGCACACCAAGAGGCTCCTGCAGCAAGGTCACAGTAAAGCTCCTCACTCCCTGGGATTTCCGGAGGACCAAAGAGTGAAGCATATTTAAACATCTGCTACAGCAAGGTGGCTGCTATTAGAAGTTTGGAGTGACGGTTAAAAAAAACCCCAAGTTCTCAGGGACTGTCTGATTTCTGCCTAGCGCACTACAAAGCATATTGCTTACTAATATGGATAATAAGCAGATAACTCCTTGGGATCACAGGTATTTGCTCTGTCTTCAAATTAAACACAGTTAAATGACTCAAAACCATCTTACTGTGCACAGTTACTGTAAAGAACTTGGAACCTTATTATTACTGCTGCCATTACATCTCATCCCTCTGTACAACTGGAAAGCACTGTGCTTCACCGTATCTTTGCACAGAGCCTGCAGAGACAGAACATTCCTCTTGCTGTTAAAGCCCATTGCGAGCACCCCATCTTTGGAACAAATGATCCAACGTGCTCTTGAAGTTGCAGCAGCCTCAATACCTAGAAAGAGCTGGTGCCCTTACTCATATTGGCTGGTGTAGATGAACTTCATCAAGATGAGCTCTTGCATGTGTTCATGGAAGATGTCTTCCAGGGTCCGACCCCATTCTTCCCTTAGCCATGTCCGGAATTCCTGCAGCACAAGGAGAAGAGAAAAGCATTTCATTCGCGACAGTGACGTACTCCAACATGACTTCACCTCGTCAGCACGATTCACTGGCAGAGCCACAGAGAGGGCATATGCTCTGCCAAAGACAGAGGATCACGGCTGGATTTGGGAACAAGCACATGTTGCTACAGAGCTGGCTTGGAAATATGCTTAACAAGTAGCGATAATGGTAACTGCCCTATACTTGCCAGACTCCACACAATAAACATGCTTCCCTTCAAATAAATCACAGGTAGGACCAATATGCCTCCTCAGAATAAAAGCATAAGCATCACCTGTTACTGCAAAGCAGCTGATCTACTGTTTCTTTACGTCCTGACTTAACTTGCAGCACCTCATTTGTGTGCCCATAAGCTGACTCCTGTGCTCTATCCTGGCATGTTAAACATAAAAAGGGAAGCTTTTGCAAGGCACTGAAGATTTAGGAGGTTAAATCCTGCTGATTTAATACTGATGCTTCTAAATCCAAAGAGTGCTTTGAAAACATCTCCTGAAGTACCTCTACACCAGCTCTGACAAGTTAATACCCTATCATGAGTTAGCATGATAACAGCTTACATTAAGATTGCAGCCTACCAAGTGATATTCCAAACCTGCTTTATCTTCTAAAACCAGATCCTCCAATTACCATAATGCCACGCAAACTTAACGCAGTGCTTTGAAAGTATTAAAGTATTTCTCATCTGCTACAGAACCAGGAAACACTTAACTAAACCTTTCACCCAGCTGTTTCCCATTAGTAGACAGACTTTTTAAAGCATTTGTTAGAAGCAACTGAAGTATCAGATTTGTCATGTTTAACTAGCTGGCAGCAAACGCCACTACCTGGAACAGGTATTAGCTGAAGGTTTTCATCCTGACATTTATACCTGCACCTTAAAACATGTAGTCTGAGTCAGGAATCTGCCTTGCTGGGTATAGCTGACACAGACACGGGATAAACAACCAAATGAAGCTTTTAATCCCTCGACCAAGATGACAAGCAGTAGAAAGGTGCCCCACTGACAACCAGGTATTCAAATGCAGCTGGTACTCAATATTAGGCCTGTGTCTGAAAGATCTTAATTATACAGACAGCAATACCACAGAGATCAGCGTCTGGCAAGTGCTGCGTGGAGTACAATGCACGTTGCTGTCTTTCTTTGCACAGGCCTACTATCAAACAGGAATGGTGTCACAGCACAGGAAGAAAAAAGGTGCGGGGGCTCAAAGAGCACCTTGCCACACAGAACTGCTTAAAACAGCTTTTTGTGCAACAGGATGGACATAACAGCCTGCTCCAACACCCTGCTACGCACAGAGGTAAGGCACAGGGTCTCCAGCCAGACATTCTGCAGGTGTAACGCTGAATTTGATCCCATATACTAGATCCTTAAACCACACCTTGGCAAGTACGGAAGAGGTTCCTCAAGATCCTGCGAATGGCCACCTTAAGTTTGGATTCAAGTCACAGATCAATTCTACTCACTTAAAAAAGATTGTAGTAAATCAGCCAGAAGCTACCAGCCTGGGTTTTCATTATGTTCAGATATACAGAAATTAAAAGGCAGAACACCACCTCCCAGATCCCAACATTAGCCAACATCTTAGGTAGACAGCAATGCTTTATCTTCAGAAAGGGAACGTACAAGCAGCCTTAATGCAGACTCTTGGCAAAGCACTCTTACCTCTTGCCTTCCACCTGACATCCGATGGTGATCTGTCTGGTTGCATTTTGTGGAGAACTCATCCTTCTTTACAATCTGTAGTTACCACGGAGGAGAATTTAACAGGTTACAGACCTGTTTAGAGATGCCTAGGATGATGTAACTAAGGCTGCTTAGAGTAAATGCTTTACACAACAAGCGTTACTGAATTTGCTACAACAGTGAAATCATAAAGTGATAGCGAGTGCATCAGCTACAGAATAGAGGAATAAAAGCAATAAAACCCCAATGCATTCTAATGAAAGATACTAGTTTTAAGTTGCTTCTCTATTCGTGCTTCCTTCTTCAAAGAAAAGGAAACGACCTCTCAGGAAGCTGTTCAAAGCATCCAATGTACTGAATGGATGCTACGTCACGTTCTCAAGGTCTCATCTTGAAGAGAGCTGTAAAACAGAACAGGTCTGTGTGTCTGCTTGGACACATTCACCAGCTGCACAAGGCCATTTTGTGTAACATTTCCCCCAGCCTGTACACATACTGGTGCTTCCACCCTCCCACCCTGTTCCAGCCCAACAGAAGACAGTATAACAGCCTTGCTGTACTATTGCCAGTGAACAAATTCAGAGCAGGGAACAGCCCACACAACTTGTCAGACACATAGAGCGTAAAACTGGCACCCACACGTACAACAAGGTGGTGAAAGCCTCATCCCTTAAATAAAATTCTCATACAGTTTTTTTGATTAATCCATTTCCAGAGCCAATGTGCCTGCACGCACGCATTGCACCTAGGACAGACGTTGAAAATGTTAGAGGAGCTCACCTGGATATGGCCGTTATGAGGTCCCTTATGACCATACATACACTCAACTGTTGCACATTTCCTCTCCATGAGATGAATCCTGAAGAGGGGTTTGAATCTCATGGGATCATCAACATGAGGGTCATGAGGTGGCAAGTACATCCACCCGATGATGAACAAACCATCTACCTGCAGAGGGATGGGAGACAAAGCATACAAGATCAGCCTTGCACGCCTTCTGTTGAGTTTGCAGCAAACAACTCCGGGCCTATTCTGCAACAGGGCAGGAGCTGTAGAACAGCTTGCCGCATTTCCAAACTCTTTCCAGCAATTAAACCAGACCATATGCATTCACAGCACACCCTTGGTGAAGAGGGAGAGGGTTTCTTTACAAGGCTTTCTGCACCACTGGAAAATGATCAGGCCTTTATTGCTGCAAACGACTTTGTGACGGATGCTTGGTGTGCAGGATCCAGAGGGAGAGACTGCACTGAAGAGACCACACAGCTAGTCAAACTCTAATTGGTTTGAGAGCTCGTGCTGGCAGATACTCGAATAGACGAATTCTGCTTCTCAGGATTATCCGCGCCTTTTGGACAGGGAATTATTTGGCTCTATTATTCACAGACAGCACAGGAAGCAACAATCTCCTCTGCTGAGAGGTACAAATGCCAGCCCTCTTCCTGCACACCTAACATGACAGAATCCTTCCCCTCAAGCCCTGCAATTCCAGAGAAAGGATATTTTCTAAACAGAGAGATCTGAGACAAAAGCAGAGCAGCGCCACAGAGGCACACTTGTCTTTATAAGGTCACAATATCATGTAAGTATTGGTGCACTTGGATGCACTCTTATACCAGTTCATGGAACGGAATCTTGCAAAACCCAAAGGCCTCGTGATTTGTTACGCTTCAACCTGTCAGCTATTGAGCCTTGGTGCAAAGAACAAGGGCTTCAGGCAAACTTCTGGCCCAGCTCTCACCAATGCAGAGTCAAGCATTGTTCATCAACTGCTCTTCCCAGCAGCACAAGAGCTGCCAGACTCCACAGGTCTTGCACCAGTCGTGCACCAGTATCACTACATCTGATGCATTAGTCTTAGACGTGGCTGGTGAAAAGTATGGCAAACTACAGGAAGGAGAGGTGCATGAACACAACTGCAAAACCCTCTGCAAAACGTTCAGCTGCAGGCCAAGATAATGCAGTAAGTGATGGGCCAGTGCTGAAACCTCTGCTGTACTCGATGCACAAGGAATGGACTCCTGTGCCAGCCACTGGAATATCAGCATTAAACTCTAAATCGAGCCTTTCCCTGAAACATTGCTCATGTTTTCTGTGTGCTCCTGTGGCTGTTTGGAGTACAGCTGAAAAACAAAAGGACTGTCTGGAGAAAGGTGGTGACGATGAAAAGATCCAAGAAGCAACCTCTGGGTCCCAGTCACTTGCTTGAGGGTTGACTATTCAGACTTCTCAATAGCACAGAGATGGCAACCAGGTCTAGAAAGCAGTATACGAAAGACTCATCCGTCCTCGACACCACAGCCCCCAGAATGAGGTACTCACTCACCACCACGTTCAGCAGTCCCCCATAGGGCCCGATGTCCGGCTGCCATAATCCCAGGATGTGTCGGTATCGGTGCAGCACTAGGGAACAGTGAGACACCAAAGTGAGCACATCAAGTTAAGGAATTGGGATTTGGGGAAAAGAAAGAAAAAGGAAGGCTGCTACCAGACTGCACACAACACTGACCAATACCACCCACAACCGCCTTTACTAAGGAAGGGAAAACTGGTTATACCCAACCACAGCCAGGCAGTTCTGGACCAAGGCCTCCCACAAGCTCACACAGATTTATCTTGTTCTCTGCAGCCCTGCTCCTGGCCCGGTGCAGGAGCAGGAGCTAGTTTCCAGGACTTTACAGAATCAGATACCTCACCAGGAATTCTCAGAAAACTTTTGCAACATGGTCCTGTCAATGCAAATCACATGATATACCCAGAGCTAAAAACAAATAAGGTATCTGCCATCTCCAGTTACCAAAAACTTACTTAATGCCTCAGACTGCAAAGCAACAGAAAATAAGGAAGGGCAGAAAGGTAGTAAGGAACAGGGAAATTTGAATATTTTGAAAGAATTTCCCTGCCTTGTACAGACAAACTTGTCTCCAGAGTTAAGCGTCCTTAAAAACAGCCACCGAGGGAGCACAGGCAAAGCACACAGACCATGCCAGCTCAGGAGATCTGGTGATGTTACCAGGTCAGTAACAGCCTTAAAAATTCTAAGTAAGCAGCTACATTTCAGCAGTGCCCAAAAGCTGCTTCAAATTCCCCCTCAAAGCCTACTGCAGCAGGTGAGGCTTCTCCGTTTCTCATCTCAGACCTAGGTGCGCTTTCAATCCCACCAAAATTGAAGGACAAGTAGGAATGTTTTCAGCAAGCAGGAAAAAATGCCTATTACAGAACGATCTTAACAAACGTCCTCTCTTGAGGAAAGCTGAGAGATGCTACTTGCCTCCAGTCCTTACGCAGTCAGCCATTACTTTTGTCCATATAACTTCCTGACATGACCAGTAACCTTCACGGGAAGACATTACACACCATCTGGCATTTGGGGCGGGAACAACAGGATGCAGATTATTTCCATGAAGATGGCAAGAAGATACTACATTTGCCTTACAATGATGTTCATGGCCAACTCAGAACGCCACAATAACCCATTTTAACCTACAGGACTGGTTTGAATAATGGTTTTTGCTTTGCATCAATTTATAGGAAGAATTGTGTTTCAGTGCAGCTGTTCAACAGCTTTGTTTCATTAACTACTTAAGATAGCAAAAACTATAGGAGTGTTTTTATTACACCAAAGCAGAGAACTTCCACAGAGGTTTAGGACACCAGGGAGGGTTGTCCAGAGCTGCTGCCAACTGGCCTGGAGGAGCCTTTTTCCTGTGCAGTAAACAATTTAAGATTGATGGCCTGGTTTCACCCAGTGAACCGAGCGCAGCACAAACAGCACTAAGGCAAGCAAGCAAACCACATTCCCAGTCTTCTCGTCTCAGTGCAGTAATTACATATTAATAAATGGTATGTGCAAAAGCCGCTCCACCCACCGCCGTCTGCCTTCTACCCTGTCTGGCATGGAGCTGATAAAACCCAGCTTTTTTTTATTTTTAGGACAGAAAACTTGATGCCAAGCTATCCAAGAGTGATGAGGACATCCCTCCTCCCCCAGCTCTCGTCGGAGTACCTTCAGAGCTGTAGCTACAATCGATGGACTTTTCAACAGCACGGAAAGTGTCTGCTTGACAAGGCAAGCCCTTCCACTCCAAGACACATGCCTGTCGAGGACAGTTTATGTGCTCACTTTGAGTAAACAGACGGCTCCAGCTGCAGCTCGGTTCGCCAGGAGCCATGGCGGCTCAGGAAATGTGGCTGAGTCACAGACGGAGCCGGCTTCACCATCTGCCCCGACCACCCGGAAACCTGGGGCTGCAAAGGAGGGAGGAGGCCAAAAAAATCCCATCACCCCCAGAAGAATCCTACCCACTGGATAGCAGCTTCTGTGCTTAGTGTGCACCACTACTGTGGGCAGCTCTTCTTTTTTAATTTTTTAAAAACCCAGCTGTTTGGCACCACAGAAGTCTCCAAACGAGCTGACGGGAAACAGGCTGCAATGTGAGCAGTGCTTCACCCAACCTCACCCTCCCTACACACCAACACCCACGGCAGGGACACCTTAACGGACACGTCGTCTCCCTCACTTGCTCAGGGTGCTGTGGACTCCTCCTCCTGTTCTTTCAGGAAAGTAAGTTACTGAGGAAAATGCTGGTACTTGGCCAAAGGCCCAAACGAGTCTCAAAGCAAAAGCACAGCTCCGTTTTCAGGCCTGGGGTGTTTCTGGGCTCCAGCGAGCCAGCAGCTATATTCTTTGCAGGGAAAACCTGATGAATTCCAGTTCTGGCTCTCCCTGGCGGGAGACAGGATGGATCTGACAGTTGTTTCCCTCCCTGCTCCTCAAAAGAAAACAGCATTTGGGTCTTTCTCCAAGGTTTTCCCTTGCTATGCACACTGCCTATTTTTCTCAATCCTGAAGAAGCCTCTTCCCTACCCGAATTTCTGAGCCCACATCCTGCCAAATGGAGCAAAAATACATCCACTGGACGCTTCAATACAACCCCCACTCAGCCCGGATATTACCCACGTTGCCACAAGCAGCCCTGTACACTCTTCAGATGGGAAGGCAGCTTGAATCCAGCTAGGGATGGGCGAGGAAGAGCAGGGAATGCCCAAGCTCCCATCAACAGAAGGCTGCCCGGGAAAGGTCTAATGCCTCTGCTCTTTGTCAGAGTCAGACACGGGATAAGGAAGGGACACTGAGCAAATGCACAGCGATTCAAGCAAGCATGACAGTGCTGGCACACCACAGACACCATAGGTATGAACAGACAAGTTACAACCCCAGCGTGGGTTATTAAAACAGGAGGAGAGCAGATGCTTTCAGATGTTACTGTTTTAACTAAATCTCATTTCACTACTTGTGTCCAGCTTGGACAGCACAGGCAGAGAAATGCAAAAACCTAACACGGGAGTGTTCAGTGAAATCTGCAGCCTTTAAAGCAGAGGTAGTTCACTTTGACTGGAAAAGACCTGATCAACAACTCTCTTGGACTCTCAGGATGCAGCAAGATATCTAGAAGTAAAATGAGTTGGAACAATGTAAGCAGCTACTGCCCTCCAGCTGGTGATAACTGACCTGCTAGTGGAAAGAGCCAAGTGTCAGCCAGGCTAGCTTCAAACCCTGGGGAAAGTGATCTGAGCTGACCTGGCTAACGCTGCATGAATATGAATTAGGGAGCACTCACATGGTAAATCCTGGCAACACGGTCTTAATACGCAGGAGGGGAAAAAGGGGGGAACGGGCAATCGCATCTTAAACCACACTGGCTGCTCCCCAAGTAATACAACACGCTCCCAGAGAAAAGGGGCATGAGACATCAGAAGTTTGGGGCTGCAGCTAAAGAATTAACAACTGAGGGAACAGCACAAATTGCCATTTCAGAGCCACCACAAACGGTGCATTTGGGGCAAACACCCAGGTAGTAATCTACAAAGGAGTCCCTCATCCTGCAGGGCAGCTTGGACGTGCCTCTCCTTCCCATCCAGCTCCAGAACAAGGCTGGTGTTGACAGGCAGGACTGC